GATAAGACCTTCGTTGGATCTACTGACTCTGAACAGCGAATGAGTCATGAAAGTACGCGAACAAATCACTGATGCTGCCAAATAAGTCAAATCAGAACAGAATAAAACCCTTTTCCTGTGCATGACTTGGTTTGGTGAGATTTATTACCAGCTCTTTGCCTTGCAGAGYGGCTCACACACAAGCGCCCAGGATTTTGGGGCACTGCTGCCCCACTGTTTGCCCAGCTCCTCTCCGGCCTCAGGCAGCGCCCGCCCTGCGCCAGCCTGGGAACCAGCAACACTTGCCTCGTATGTGCACGGGTTTGTCGGCCRTGCACGCACAGGCGTTGATTACTAGGATATTCATAAGCATACAGTACATTTGACCAAAAGCAGATTGTAACAGGGGTGCCTTTTCCACAGGGCAGCCTCCTTTCCAAAAGGCTGTTTCCCTGGAGGAGACTGGGAAGGGCTGCAGGGCTTGTCCTGCCTCCTGCTCCACGAGGGCAGCAGTCCCGGCCCGCGCAGCGTGGGGAGGCAGCACGGGGGCTCCGCTGCAGCTGGCGGGAGGGCAGCAGGAGCGCCCRGTGCCGGGACAGATCCCGCCACCTCACCGGGACGGGAAGCCAGGGACCTGCCTCCGGCAGCTGCTGCGCAGGCCTGCTGTGATTTACGGGGGAATTATGTGAGCTTGGGCATTCCAGTTACAGAAACATCGATGAAGTTTAAGAGCAACTGCTTTGAACCCTCAGCCAAAAGCAAAAACTCTTCCTCTGYGCAGTATCAGCCATAAGGAACCCAATCTGGAACTATTTTCTCAATATGTCAAATGTTCAGGGTCAATATGAAGATTAGAGGAAAAAAATTAAAAAAATAAATCAAAGCAGGTCCAGGTTGAGCTAGCTGTGTGCTGTCAAACTGTTTGAAGAGAGCTGCAAGCTGGCTTTGATCCACCCCAACAGRCACTGGAAGTTGCTTTCAGCTGCATCCAGCAGCAGCTGGCTGCAGGTCTCACCCCACCAGGCTCATCTCACAGCAACTACAGTGCATTATTTGGCTCTAGTTCATCCCCTAGATTGTGTCTGCTGCCCCTCGCACCCGCTCACAGGCCTCTACCCCTGGAGACAGGCAGAGAACAGCGCGTTCCAGCTCTGCCACTCGCCATAAAGCCAAGCAAGATGCTCCAGCGCCTGCACATCCCTACATCCACCTCAATTCCACGGAATGCTTTCACAGAGAGCTTTGATAAACAGGAAAGCGCACGTTTGAGAATTCCGTAGCGGTTTGTTACGGTAACTTGCCCTGGGAATTTCCCTCCCTTGACCTTCCCAAGGTGAGGGCCCGCGGCAGTGACGGCAGCAGAGGACAGGGAGTACCCAGCGTCACGGCGCTGCCTCCGGATTGATGTAATCCCCTATGTCGGGAGGGGAGGACTGGCTCCAAGTCATCCACAGCCTGAACAGCGTCGCTGAGCCAAACTGCAAGGGGAGCTGCGCTGAGCAGCTACCACGTGTGCAATGCAAACAGGGCCTGGCTCACCCAGGAAAAGGCACGCGGAGCTGCAGCCTTAAAAAGGACCAGGATTTAATGCACAAAATATTGCCAAGAGACTTTCACATTTGGGTTTATTGCTTGGATTGGGTAGCAGATAATTTCCTTTTTAGGCCTCTTAAYAGGGAATCAGTTTTAATGTCTAATTTAAAGTGACACACACCAGCAAGCAAATGGTTGAATGCTTGCTGGTATCCAGTGTTACAGCATTCAAAGCACGATCGCACCATTCCCTAGACCTCAAAAATGTCTGTTCAAAAATGTCTGTAGTTTGAAATTTAGTAAAAAAAGTGGGAGTGTAATTTAAAGAGTATCATAAGCTACAGAGATTACCTGAAAATATTCCTTTAAGTCTTTCAAGTCAGTAAGATTCATGATGCTCTGCTAAGYAAGTGCTGGCTCTGGGGACTGAAGTTGACTGGGGCTTTTTGAAATCGCACAGTTTCCCAAAATTTGGGAACACTTTTGGAATTGAGTAACAATCTCTCTTTTCCTTCCCTTCTCATCCCTCAGGGAGCTCCTGCCTTCCCCACATGACACAGCCACTTCCCAAGACACCCACGTGGAACCACAAACTGCTTGAAAAACAATAATCTTTAAATCAATGTTTTCTTATATTATTTATATGACTAATAGTAGATAGAGTTTTTCAACAAAGAGCTTACCGTACCTAAAGCTAAAAATCAAAGTGGAACAGTGTTTTTGTTGAGTTTAAATAAAGACTAGCATATATTAAAAATACCATATTATTGCCATATATAGTGTAAATAACTAATTTTTAACATCAGTTTATGTGATTTAGAGAAAAYGGCAAAACAGAAGACAATAAAAATACTAACAATTCATTCATCCATAGTAACACATTCATACACGGAGTGGAAGTCATTTGCCGTTTAAATCATTACTGTTATACGAATAGGCTGAAACAAAAGAGTTTATAAAACAGTATTCAAAACAGCTTCAGTAACGAACCCTGGAAACTGGAAAGAGGAAGCCCGACTCCCRCATGGAAACTTGAAATCCTTTAGCTTTTTGACAATCAACACACACAGGGCAGGATGGCTTTAGTGCACGCTGTYGGAAGGGTTACTCCTATACTGTTATTTCTCGAGCCCAGCAAAAGAGGTCACTGCAGAGTCACCAAAGTTCTTCCAACAGGCTGTTTTCTGCCTAGAGAGACAGTTTGACTTCATATTCTCTGCTTAATTTCTCTATCCCACTTGCATTTATTTCTCCTCTTCACCCTCTCAGGTCTGCACGTTGCTTCCCCATCAATCTGAACAGTCTGTAAAYGCCCCAGCGGCACCACTCTGCAGTTTCACGTGTGTGCAGACACAGACCCCTCTGAAGGGAAACAGCCGGCACCTCCACGCTGCCCTTCGGGAGCTCCCTCTCCTCAGGGATCCTCAAGCCCTTCTGCACAGCAGAAGCTACAAAGAAACTCGAGGGCAGTTTATATTGCTAATACCTCCTAGTAGGACTTCTGAGCAGAAGTCAGCTGTGATTACACACACAGCAAAACCCAGGAGGCTCTTTCACCACCTCCTGGTTATACAGAACTTCGGTGACCCTGTTCAGAGACCCCACGCTGGGACAGCCGGGCGAGGAGGCTGCTAACACAGCAACACTTCATTTCTCCTCCCCATCTTTGGCAGCATAGAATCATAGAATCATAGAATCATAGAATCATAGAATCATAGAATGCCCAAGGTTGGAAGGGACCTCAGAGGTCATCGAGTCCAACCCCCCTGCTCACACAGGGTCACCTAGAGCACGGGGCACAGCGCTGCATCCAAGCGGGTTTTAAAGATCTCCAAAGAAGGAGACTCCACAACCTCTCTGGGCAGCCTGTTCCAGTGCTTTGTCACCCTCACAGTGAAGAAATGCTTCCTTAAGTTCCTGTGGAACTTCCGATGCTTCAGTTTGAAGCCATTTCCTCTAGTCCTATCCCTGCCCACCACTGAAAAGAGGCCGSCCCCCTCCTCCTCACTGCCTCCCTTGAGGTATTTATACACRCTGATCAGGTCCCCCCTCAGCCTCCTCTTCTCCAGGCTGAACAGACCCAGCTCTCTCAGCCTTTGCTCATAGGGCAGATGTTCCAGGCCTCTGATCATCTTGGTAGCCCTGCGCTGGACTCTCTCCAGCAGCTCCACATCCCTCTTGTACTGGGGAGCCCAGAACTGGACGCAGTACTCCAGATGTGGCCTCACCAGGGCTGAGTAGAGGGGAAAGTGCAGAGACAGCATAAATCTGTCTCTGCAGCTCTGGAAATACTGCAMCACTCTCTGCTGTCCGAGACTTTTTCCTCAGATAATCATGGCTTCTTCCATGATCCCATGCAAACAATTTGCAAACTTCCTTTTTTATTTTCCTGCTTTGGAAAGCACCTCCTTCCTGAGCAAGCAGCTCCTGAAGCCTCACCACAGGCAAACATCTTTCAGCAAGTTTAGATAATCTCCCCACCTCAGCTGCTTCCATCTCCATGCACTAAAGTATCKCCTCTCTCTTAGGAATAGCCTTAAAGTAGTTCTCAGAACAATAACAACAAAAAGTAGTTATTGTAAGTGACAGAAGTAAACTACTCCCTTAACTATCAAGCTCATTTGTAACTTGGTTTTACTTTCACCAGTTTAAAGTCCAGCTTTGGAAGGTCTGCCAGGGGCTACATTTTCCTCATACTTAATTAATATTTGCTTGACACACAAGAAAAGAAACCAAAAAGCCACTAACAACAAAAAACCCCACAGACCCACACACACAAGAACCCCGCCGCCTAAATTATTTCTTAGTAGAACACCAAAAGGGAGTACCAAGAACTCTTAAAATAGTTATCAGTGAAGAATCAGGATTATTCTACTAAAATGACGAAGAGGAAAGAACTGAATTCAGTCTGAGCTGCCTTTGCAAGAACAGGACTCAAGTGCTTAAGGCATCAGGAAGGGAAATAAAGTTAAAACTTGGACAGGATGTGGTTTGAACCATCTGAAGTGTTATGCATCTTAAGGACAAAACTTACCAGTCTAATTTTATTTTTTTTTTAATTTCCTACATAATAATTTATTCTAACTTATACTCTTTCCCCCAAATAGTCAATATCAYGCAGATGATGAACACGGTGAGTACATAGGTTATTTCAGCAGGAAGTGATTTTCATTTCTAAAATGGCAACACTTTTCATCCATTATTTTGGCATAGTTATTACCAATAACTTAGCTGTAAATATAAGCATTGCCTAGATGAAAAAAAAGCAGTTTTGCATCGTTAATACAGTCATTGCATAGGAACAATCATTTTCCCAGGTGTCATTTTCACTCATAAAGTCCAAATAAATCTCTGACCTTCACTGCAATGTCTGCTCCAAAAATATTCAATCAGTTTCTCAAGGGAGTAAGTGACAAGTTGGAACTAGTTGTTTTATAATCAGCCTAAGCATATGCAAAACTCTTAATGACTATTTAACCAGCACTTACATTTTCACACTGCATCTTTTTGGGTTTTACGTGGGAAACATTGAGACCATCAATAACAATATCAAATGGAAGGCGATCTTCCACAAATGCTTGAAAGGCTTCAAATTCCTGAAAAAAATAAAACAATATGAGGGAGAACAGAGAGAAATTTCCTTCATTTCATTGTCTTATAAATCATAAGAGAARTAAAAGTTAAATCTCTTCACTTTTCATTTGTTGGTTACATTTCTTTTTTCCCTTGTATGTTTACTAAATAACAAAAAGGAAATATCTTTAAAAGCATCAAATACTACAGTGGATATTTTCAAAAATTACCTTAAAGTTCTATTATAAAAGATTAATATAGAAAAAAAAACTCTTAAGAGTCACCTAAGTTATAAATACTGTAATTGTAGCTACATGGCAGCTGCAAAACAAATTATTTAAAAAACAAAACACTTTACCTATCAGAAGATTGTGACACTGCTGCTAACTAACACCTCCTAACGCAAAATAAGCATCAATAATCCATAAGAATTCTGAAGTCTTTAAAGTACCAGCTGCTGGATAATACCGCTATATTTAAAGATGATATTAATGCAGCCTTCTATCTGTAAGAAATAAACAAATCTCTAAGCCGACCCAAATATTGAACTCTGTTATAAGCATAATGCAGTGCTCAAAGCAAACAAGATACATCGAGTTTTGCCAACAGAAGGGAAACCACAATTGCTTTAGGGCTGAGCCCCCATATAAGCGAAGAGACAATAAAGTTCTAATTTTTAGTTTCTTTTAGCAGTCTTGCAGTTGATCTCCACTTCCTGCTTCCAGATGTTCTTTATGGTCATAGGAACCCTAAGTCATCTATTTGGGCGGTGACCCAGTTTTATAATAGACTTTTCTATCAACAGGTGGCACTTATTTGATCAAGTAACAGAGATTTCTCCATCCAGGACTATAAATGAAGTCTTCAATGAGCTCAGAACAAGTGCAACTTTCACACCTATGCTCAGAGTGCATAAAGGATTTTTCTAATCTTGCCTTCTCCCCTGTAACCAAATTGCAAGATGCAGGTCTGTTCAACAGCACTCTCACCACAAAACACTACATGGTGCACACTATTCCTCTACAAAAGAGCAAGGGAAAGAAAACGCGTCCAAAAGATATACTGCTATCAGCAATGGGAAGTGATCACTAATTTTAGTCACGCTGTTAATGACAAATTATACTGGAACAAAGGGGTCACTTACACATGAGTACAAACCAAGCAAGACAAGGCTGCCTCGCTGACGTGGATGTTCAGATTTGTGGCACAAATTGCAAGGGAACTGAGCTATGCTCATGAAAAGCTGTCGTGAACACTACAACATCAAGATCAATTGGCTTTTATATGGTCTTTACTGCTTCTTAGCTTACATAAACACTTAGTGAGAAAGTACAAAAGCAGCAGGTGAACAGCGTGCTTTATACGGATGAAGAGACACCCACATCCCCAGCTCATGGCCAGGGAAAGCAAGACAGAAAGGGAGATCTTTAGGAAAAGTTGGGGTGCAGGTGTGGGCTGTAAACCAGGCCCCACATCATCCCAACCCTCGTGGATTCCCAGCCTGGGTGCTCACGCCGGTCGGTGGATTTTCCCAGTGGATTTTCCACATCAGGTGAGGTTTGGCTCTAACACAGGCTTGCTGTGTGAAATGAAAGAAAGAAGAAAACAAACACTCCAGACTGAATGATGGTAAGAAGGAGACTTTTGAAGGGGGAAGATARAAAAGAAAAGATGAAAGACAGGGGAAACGGACAAAAATACACACAAACACTCCAGAAGAGCGTCATTTTCATCATGCCAGCATTATCTGAGGTAACAGTCGTTACAGTCTGGTAGACATTTTTAGAAAGTAAAGTACCCGTGTAATCYTGTCTTTAAGGGCTCAACTCAACCCAGAGAATTTCTAACCCTGAAGAATTTCTACAGGGATATTTGACTTCCAGTGACAGTAACTGCAGAGCAGTTTCCTACCAGGGCAGGTTTCCCCTGGCAGGCAGGGCAGACGAAACCCCACAGCACCAAAGCTGTGGGGCAGAAGCTGCCAGGAGGTTCCTGCCCAGAGCTGCGCACCTCTCCATGGCCACGCTCTGCACCTACCTCTTGGAGAGCTGGAAAAGCTGCACTGGGCTGGCAGCCTTGTGCCCTTGCTCAGCTCACCTTTCCGCGCCGGACATGGCGAGGAGTTTGCAGCAGAATCGGTGCAGAGACAAATGTCCAAGTATAAGTGTTGTCAATGGGCACAGGACTCTGGTGAAAAGCCCAGACAGGGCTAGGAGCAGCCAGTGGCCTCTCTGCTCCCAACTGCACCGGAACACACATGGCAAACATGGCACTCGCTTGAACTTGCCCAGCCCAGCCTGGGCCCACAGCGCTCTGAGGAAAAGGTGGTTACTCAAGGCTTGGCAGCTCCACTCCAGCTTGCTGCAGAGATGGCAACCAAGAGACTAAACTTAAACATATGCTCAGTGTTGCTCACTTAGTKGATCCTCTTAAGGAACTCCAAAAAAATGTTTGTAACAAACTCTAGCAACTCTATTACAGTCATTGCAAGTCCACTTAGAGAAGCCAGCACAGGGAAAGCACGTGCCTCAGCACTGCCCAAATGCAGAAGCACTCACAGGAGGTCCCACAGACAGCTGATTTTACATTGACTTCAAAGGAAGAGAGAGCTGAAAGAAGAAATCTCCTCTGTCACTCAGTGCGTAGCTGGGAAAATAGGGGAATGCCAGCGACGGGATGGCTGGAAATGATTCACCGGCCCTTGTGCCACGAGGACCCAGCTCCGCAGGTGAGGGGGGTCTCTCCTCTCTCCCAGCCACTCACTCCAGCCCTGCCCTCGTCTCCTGCCCGGATGGGGAAATTACAGCGTTTCATGAGATTTGGGTGCTCTCTCAACCTGAGGCATTGCAGCAAAGTAAGAGGCAGAGGTAGTTTATTAAAATGTTCCTGTTTGGGGAAATAAAAAAGAAAATGGGGCAGATACAAAGCAAGTATTGCAAAGTATCCAAATAAAGATACACAACAAAACAGAAGTGTTACCTCGGACTTCAAGAATCTGGCTTATATAGCCTGCCAATTCTATATTAATAACATTTGAAATAGCAGTTGCAATGGATATGAAAATAGAACAAACGCTCTTTTACAAGTGAACAATTTCAGTTTCTTAAATATATTTTTGGAATATATTTAGGAAACTATTTTAATAGCGGTCTGTGCACACAGACTACAYGTCTCAAAAGCATGATAAGAATAAAGAAGAATGATTATTTAGATGTTTACTATTCTAAATATAATTACAGAAATAAACATCACAACTGAAAAAAGAACATAATGAGCATCTCCTTTCAAAAGGAGAATGAGAATAATTCAACTAAATATTTTGAGATCATCCATACACATGCCAGATCTACAGAAGTATGACCTTTCAGATCAAGGACTYTTAGGTTACAACATTCTTCTGCTCAAGTGTTTTAGGTCCAAAYAGGAAACACGGGTGCAACTAACAAATAAAAACACGGTCTTTCAGTTCTTCAATAATTCAAAGTTTCCACAGATGTAACTGTGGAAGGAACACAGAATGATAGAGCATACAGAGGTGTTGCGAACAAATCCATACAGGGATATTACGTTTATGCCAAGACAAGGAATTAAAACAAACAAAAACAGTCCTAGGAAAACTATTAAAGTCACCACAGAGGAGACAGCTTGTTGCTTCTTCAAAACAATAAAGTTTATTTTCACTCATCAGGAATGGCAGAGAGTCCCTATAAGTCACTGTTTGACTAAAAAATGCAAAACTACTGCTACTAATATTTAATTTCCAGAAGTATTCACAATTTTCTAACCTCTGTGCAAACAAAAAGTAGTGCTCCTCTACAAAGCAGATGGTACTATCTTGCAGTGCAAGGAAGGAGTAAATTCAACTGCAATATAATGTCAGTSTAAGTATCAAGCAGGGCGTTTTCTTTATTTCAGGGTTGTAAGAGGAGTTTTGGAGAAGTGAAAACATTCACTTTTTAGCTGCTTCATTAAATACCAATGGATGGGGGATTGCTCTGTCTTGGGCAGTGTTTCTCAGTATGGGAAGGAAAACACAGGAATTAGCATTACAGTGTGAGAAGTAAAATTCATCTGTTAAAGATGAAATCCAGTCTTTTATTTATTTATTTATTTATTTATTTTAAAAAGGTGCCTGGTGCTGTAACTACTAGAGAACTATTTGTTGCTATGCCTGAAGGGTTTACATAATTTCCTCCACAGTTTCAAAGCCTGGAAATCCCCTTCTAACCCTTACCACCAAGCAGCCTCTCTCAGTTGTGTGTCAATAAGCACCCTGGCTCGCAGGCCATTTCTTTGTCCCCTGCTATTGCCACTTCTGCAGCTGACAGGGAGCACAGGGAGAGGGTCCGTTAAGCCACAACCCTCGTGGCTGCTGCCGCGAGCCCTGGGAAGGACAGGACGCCCGAGGCCGCGGGGCTGCCGCCTGCTCCATGCGCGTCACCTGCCCGGGATCGGCGCCCACGGGACTCTCTTGCTTCCCAGGCCAACAGTGCGGAGCCAGGGCCAYGGCGCTCCTCACACCTCCTCTCCGTAGCACAATCCCATGGGAGGGAGGAGCGAGTGGCCGTGCTGCCCTCCTCGGCGGAAAGGCTGCCCCACCGGCCTGCGTTTAAGGCAAGTGCCCGGGCAAAGGCAGAGAGGGACAAAGCGGGACAGGAACCTGCAGCTGTAAGGAGGCAGGGCCAGTTACTGCCACCAATGCCGCGCTGTGCTATGAGCTGCTAAATAACACTTACAATCCCATGAGAAACAGCAACGGCTCTGAGGCACCCAGTGCTCCATGCTCTACTTCAATACTTCTAGGAATGAGCCAGAGATTTAGAGGTATGTGAGCATCTGTACATTGTAACCTAARGCAATGATTAAGAATAGGAAAACAGTCCTCTGCAATTCTCCGATCTGGCAGGTTTGAAGTGCACACCTCCTGCCAAAGAAAATCTCTAAAAATTCCTTGCATGTGTTAAATGACAAGCATATAAAACAGAACCAGACGGCTACAGATGTGGAAAAAAGCCCAATAATTCTTCATAACAAGATACTAAAGAAAGTGAACTTGTCATGGCATTGAGAAAGATAGAAAAGAAAAAAGCAAAAGGTCACATTAAAAAACAAAACAACCCCCCAAAACAGTCTTTCAAAGTTTTGTACTAATTTCCATATTTATTATTTCAGATGTTTAGAAAGGGAATGACACTGAAGAAGTCAGGCTAACTGCAAATGAAGAACCAAATTAAGTTCCTTCTCACTAGGCTGAAGCAGTGCACACGACAGGGACATGTCTCCTACATCTCCAAGTTCCAGAGCAACTGGATCAGCTTCCAGGATCCGTACAGACAGACCGTGCAACCAAAACCTCTGCTCAAGTGGCAGCTGCTCTAAAACCCAACCAAACCTTAGAGACAAGGCCCTGGTATCTACTAGAACTCGTGAAGCCATTTTAACCATCAGGAATGGGAAAACCCTGTACTAGGCGAAGGCCCTGGCCCCTGCAGCATCAGAACCACCTGGTTTTGGCCGCTGCTGAACACCAGCTCCTGGACTTGCAAGGACCATTTGCTTGACTRCACTTGACGGCGCCCAAGGGCAAAGAAGTAACGTTTCAAAGCACCCAAAACAAACCTTCTCCTTAGGAAGTATTTTGAAAGTCAGTAGTACTCAGACAGAGAGGACTGAAACAAGGACTTATTTATACAGTCTGCAATGTGTAAATATGTCTCGAGAACCCCTGAGTAGTTMCTTAGGGATGAAAGAACTGCAAGTAATTGACTGTTTATCCAAGAGGCCCTTGATAAAAATCTCACAAAAAGAATCAGCTACTCATCACACTTCCAGATTGTTTTAATTCTTTTGGTGAACCTATGGGAAAAACCTACTGTTCCATTTCTGTATCTTTGGCTTTGTCTCCCTCTCTGCACAGCTAATGAACAGACAAAAAATAAATACTTTATCAAGCCATGACCTTATAAAACCCTGGGAAGATTTCTGCATTTCTCTCATTGTTTATATACTCTAGCTAGTATAATAAAGATAAGAATGGAAGAAAAATACTGCATCAGGAATCTCCAACATATAGGCAATCATCCTGGACCTTCTCAGATTATTTGACATTCTCTAATGAGGCAATTGAGGGAGAGAAATACATGCTGCATTTATTATATTTTCATCCAGATCTACCTCTTGCTGCTAAGAAAAGAGTAACCTTCTATCCTCCAGTCAAACACCACTCTACACTTCTGCTTGTTTCCATTAGCAGGAACCTCTGGGGAAAAGGAAGATGCAACAGAAACCCTAGCAAAATTCTAGCTGCCTTTTCTCTTGCCATCCATTTACTGTTCAGTCTCCCGCCTCCTTTACCTTCTTTCCACAAGTCCTCTCCCTTTGGCAGACAACACAACAAGAAGAGGTTACCAGGCACTCTGAACTAAATATAAAGAACTCATGGCCTCCAGCTGCAAAACGGAGAGCTGCATCTTCCAGGCAATCTCTGGGCAGGTGAGGGTGGCTCATCTTGGAAGCAGCTCAAATGCAAGAAACTCAGAATTTGCAGGAACTTCGGTGCCTCCAGGTATGAATTTGGAGGCAACTAGGCAGATGTGGGCACCAGGAGGTCATGCCRGAGGTTGGAATGGAAGATATACCAGGTGGAATTAAGGTAGATTGTGCCAAGACTACTTGCCTGGAGTGCACAGGTTTCTGGAAGCAGTAAACTGTTCCACTGAGGAAGGGAGGAGCAGACAGTACAGAGGATTTGGGGGAAAACCATGGAACTGACAGTCATGTGCATGTGAAAGGGGAACCAAAGCATTATAAAAGAGGTACCAAACCAAAAGTTAAGAGGCAGGGCTATGTTATTGAGGCTCCACAGAAACAGCACACTCTCATTCAGCTGCAAAAGAAACTCTGAGGTGAAAGGGTCACAMAGCTTCTTCCCTTTTAATCTTGTGTCCTCTAGATGGGTCTGTAAAACCCCTTGGCACATTTAGCCCAGATCTGTTGTGGGGACTTCACATGCCCACAAAACCACCTTTTCCTGTCTTCAGACAGCACATACGCATCTCCCAAATGCTTCCTCTCCCGCAGCCAACAGCCCTTTCAGGCTTACCAGGGCTACAAAGCTGCCACAAAGGGAATGAAATTAATATATATGYGCATATGCACAAGAAACACCTGGGAACAGCTGGGACAGGAAAGTCACCATAGCAAAAGATTTTACTGCCTCTCAGGTGATTGCATCATATCAGGCTCAACAGCAAAGTTTCCAATTAAATGGAAGCAAAGTCAAAAAAAGAAAACCCAGCTGAAAAAACCCTGCAGATATTGGTACAAAGGTGATGGTCTTGATACTGGTGCTTTCTTCCTACAACAGCATGCAAAGCTGCAGCTCTCTCCATTAGATCATCATATCACATGCAGACAGACCCTTTTGGTAGCTGGCAATAAATAGGATCTGGATTGATCTCTACTTTTAATGTAATGGGTATTTTCACACAAATAATCCATTTCCTATTCCAGGTAGGCCATCTTTTCAAAACATTGTATCATATTGTTCATCAGTACTTTGATTTATCATCCCAAGTGTTCTTGAAGAAACTCTCTAATCACAAAAAACGGTACTGTGCTACAACAGACTGCTCTTGGGGAGCTCTGGCCAAAGCAAGTCTTTGCTCCTCATTTTCAACTCTGATTGCATTAACATTTTTGGAGGGAGGAAAGAGTCAGGTAAAGCAATAACATTGTTGCAACAGTAACAAAAAAAAGACTATTGCTCAGAGCAGAAAAAAAGAAAACCCCAAGCAAGTCACACATGCAATTTGAAACATTGTTGGAACAACATTACTYAGAGATGAAAACAACTCAAGCTGCTCTACCTACTGATCATTCTTTCGCAAGCACCATAGACACACAGAAGAAGAGGGAGGAGAAGGTCCTAATTCTGAAGCATTTTCTTTTTGAATTGTGGTAACTGCAAGTGACACGATTGCTTGTGGAAAATGGAAAAACCCTCTGATACACTCGCCTAGATCGTGATTTCAGCCTCTTCACTAGCTTCCCCTCTGGAAAGCCCTGGCTGCAGGAGAAATTGCACAGTCTGGCATACCTAGACTGTACAARATTGGCAGCATTTCTCATGACCATATGTCTGCTTTCACAGCTCAAAAGCAACTGAAAAGCCCCACATTTATTTTGAGAAACCGCTGGTATCACTGCACTGTGTTGTTTGGACACCACATCCATGCTTAAAATAGAGTCAGCTCGAGCTGTGTGGCCAGCAGCAAAGCCACCCTGCTGCAGCTCCGCTCTGCTGCAGATACAGAGCCACAGGGCAGAATCACAGAACAGTTACTGTGCAGATTACCAGAATTTATGGACAAAGCTTATAAAAGTATGCTGATTCCAGTTCCTTAGACTGCATTTCTTTGCTCAAACTGGTGATTAAACAGTAGAAGCATCATTTCCTCTACTGCTCAAACTGGGTATGAATGTCCTGCCTCTCAGAGCTACCTTGCCTGGATTTCCCCTATCAAGTTTTCCCCTGTCCATCTGGCACCACTAATCTAACCCATATACTTGACAGATTTGTGGGTTCCCCCCCCATTAGTAGTCACTAAACGGAATGTAAACAATACTTCACAGATAGATGGTWAGCTGTATAAACCTATATCAGGCACAATTTTTACAAGGGCTTTTACAGAACAAGTAGCATTAGTTACATATAAAATGATTTGCAGTGTAGAATGTGCACATTGTTTTGTAACATCAGTGCCCATTCAATACTTAATATTATTGCTCTATTTTACACTTGATGATACATTTGATCATTTCACTCATCTGGATAACTTACAGCCAGATCAGCCTGAAGTCCTGAACTGAGAAGGCAGCCCGTGGAAATTGGCCAACAGGTTTCCTGTACTAAGATATGCTGACAGCAGCCGTTTCAAGAACTGTCATGCATGCATGAGGTCCGTGTCTGTAGCAAGTCTCAAGAACTAAACCTGGTGTCTTCCTGCCTATTTTCAGAACTAGTGCAGCAAAGTGACATCAATATTTRTACAGGTAGGTGGCCACCAGCCTGAGATGTGGTGTGGGCTCCATCTAGTGGAGCTCACCTGACTCCAGCTTCCCACGAGCAAGAAACAGCACCGCGMTCCCGCACAGCAGCCCAGAGCTGCGCTCCCTCTCATACCCACCCASAGCTTTGAAAAAGTCACAGTCTTAACGCATATTGCAATTAGAAATAGGAAAATATATCTTAAACTGAAGGGCAGTTGGCTGTCTGAGRAAGCCAAAGGAACAAAATAATTGGTTCTTGATCAGTTCTGGCACACAGCTCCCCAATGAAGCATTCAGCTGTGAAGTATTGAGGTATATTTTTATTCTAGCTACTGCTGAACAAACATTATATTTTTATTCTAGTTATCTAGTTTTAAATTTAAAGATTTTTTTCCAAGCTCTATGTTACACTTTAACTACTTCAAGAATCCATTAATGACTACTTGGAAACATAATAATTAAGACAATACAATAGTGTTCAAGAATAATACTCATTTTATCAACAAAAGTGAAGAAAAACATAGATTACTTATTTTAATATCTAATGTAATTAATGTTTAAGGCATTTGTTTTCAAAGCACTTGGAGACGGATTACTAACCTTCACGCCAGTAAATCTGAGACCATTCAAGACCTACCTGCGGACTTGTCTTTCTGAAAGTATCACGTCCATGTATCACATCTGCTGTTATTCTTTCCTTGAGAATATTGTACTCCTCCTCGGTGAGGTTACTATCCTCCAACTGGTGATGGCAAACCGGGCACTCTCCACTGTCACAATAATGAAATAAGAAGATTAAAAAAAGAATGCCCACACTTACAACAGGATCAAATCCGTGGTTTCCCACTTAGCCTCCAGATTACATTCAAGCATTTCCAAGCCACCTTCTCTCTATATGAAATATGTTCTGACAAGTATTTCAATTTGAACAGACACTTGTGAAAATGCTTGCCCACCTAATAAGCTACAATCATGAGAAAGTCTTTACTTAATCTAGTCAGCAATCAAAAGGAGTAACTGCTAAATCTGCCAGAAGACAATCTAGAAAGWTCTAAGAATCAGACAAAAGTATTTGCCATAGACGGACGATCTGGCTGTCACCTGCAGGGTCACCAGTATCACAACTCCACTTTTTCTTTTCCCCCTTCAGAACAGTTTCAAGTATCCCACATCTCTACCTTCTTTGTAGTACTTTTCTTTCTGCATCAGACTGCCCTTTATTTCCAGGCTAAGACTTTCTATTCAGTGACCTTAGGACCAAGTCTAGCAGCATGTCTTTTACAGAGCAGCCCGCTATAGTTGCTAAACACTAAAGTAAGGAAAATAGAAGAGGAAAGATATGTTCTCAGAACTATAAAGCTGAACTTGAATCATAAGGCCAAGAAAGAAAGAAAACAAGTTATAGAAGAGAAAGAGGGGAAGAAGAGCTGCAAACTGCACTACAGATATCCTTCACCTCCCTGGAAGAGATGGGGGAGAAGACAAGTATCCCAGAAATTACAGTATTCTAAAGCAAAATCTCCAAAAATCCAACTTATTTCACTTAAGCTTTCCTTAGATGCAAGTTATGTTTTTAGCATTTCACATCTTTTGTCACTTTGTTCTGTAGCCTGTATTCACAGTCAAGCGTCCTTTGAAGTGAAGCAGAGATCACTGTTCTCTAACTCCATCTACATGGCTTATCTTCACAAGCAAAATCTCAAAACTCAAACATAAGATTAGAGCTTTAAGTCTTAAATTGAAAGAAGAAAAAAAAAAAAAAAAAAAGAGAAAGTTCTACCTCTTCTTTCTCCATAGAGATATCCTAGAAGTGCCAAGATGAAACAATTCTAATTTTCTGAGCCACTGCAATCAGAAATGCCAAATTCTCATAGCAAGTGATTTCTGATGTATATTACTGCTACTGCATTAAATGTGCTGCTGACAATGCATCTACTGAATGCAAAAGGTTATGTGTGAAATCTCACCAATGGACATTTATTGCTACATATGAACAATACAGTCCAGTCACTGGCCCACCAYGGCCAACGTAGGCTTAGCCTACACATTAATCTGAGCAAGGCTGGTCACATATCTACAAAGCTACCATTAAATAAATATAAGCACTAGTGAACTTGAGTTTGGCAAACTTGCCAACTACTCGAATATAGAAACTCATTTTTCAATAAAACGTTGCAGTTACCTGGGTTTAATGTTGGTCAGGTTTCCTCTCCAGTTCTCACCTGGAATACTAATATTTACATACAGAAAGATAAATATTAGACTTTAATAATACTCAAATTACAGACAAAAAATACTCCTATATACAGGGCAATATATAGCTCCTGGATAACATACTGTCTGCCCCTAGTCTACTTCTCAAGGACTCTTTACTAGTTTGAGTTTCCTGAACATAGCCCCAGGTGGGTTCTTCTCTACTCTCTGGGAGAAGAGCAGCCCAACAAGATTCTCCCCCACTAAAACAATTCACCCCAACTGAAGCCTGCCCTGTCTGCTCCCTCGCTGACCCCAGGAAGACAAGCAGGCAGACAGGGCAGTTTTTGCTGTTATGACAAGTGCCATGCATTCCCACACCTGCATTTTCTCACCAAAAATGGTGAGAAACCATTGGTTTTGCAACCTATGCAAACCAAGGACAAAGAAGAGTTGTGTGCATACAGAAGACTCCAGTACTATTACCCTGGGCACGCGCAGCACACGCAGATGCATTTGCAGAGTCTGACTATCYCCCCCACACACTCTCATGAAAAAAAGTGACCTGCCAAACACTGCTAAAACAATGAGCATTCTATCCATATTTTGGGAGGTAATTTAAAAATTAAGAAGAAAATTATTTATCACTTAAACCTAAGCTAAATCAATGGCATTCCTAAGATTTTTGCTACACTTCAGTAATCGATACTGGAATATTGCACTAAGTTTTGGCACTGACTATACACAACACACACACACACACACACACACACACGTAGTTGATAAACCATAGAGGAACCAAAAGGGAACCAAGAGGGTCTAGACCAGGTTCTCACAGAGTACTTTGTCCTTAATAGAATTTACAACCTCCCTCCTTCAAGGAGTGAAGCAGTCCCATCCCCCGCCCCTCCCTTCTTTTTTTTTGAATGATCTGCTACTTTTCTATTGAGAAAAAAAAAAAACTGTTTGTCAATATTCCATATGTATCAACCTCTGAATGAGAGGAGATGAGGTCAAGAGATTTTGGCAACCATGATCCATCAGAATTTCCTACCTTCTACATCAAGAGTGGATATTTTAAGAAAACTCTTTAAAAAAAAGGTAAAAACCATAAAATGTTGCACTTGGAGCTAAATAATACATATTTTTTTAATCACCACTTGTTTCTTATGGAGAAGCCTCAATAAAAGCAGCAGCTGGTCCATTTTATTAGTCTTAGTCTGTGGAAAAAATGGAGTTCTATCTCATGAACTTCAATTTGCTTTTGAAATATTATTTACCTTTCAAACCATAGCTTTATACTCCGCATAAACGTTCCATGAGGGTATATTTGGTTGTCTCTCAAATATAAGAGGATATCAAACAGTTCTTTTTTTAGGTCAGCATCTTCCATACCCCTGCTGAAGTCGAAAAAGGCCTGCAGGACATCCAAGGTGGGCACCAAGTCCTTGGCAAGCATATCATGGTAGAGCTCACGGGCCAGGCTCATTTCTTGGTGCCGGCTGGCCGCTTTGATACAGGATTCATAGCTTGTTCTTGAGGGAGTCATAACTTTTTTTACATCCTCCAAAAGAGCCAAGGCCATTCTCCATTTATCTGAATTACTGAGTCCTCTGATAAGAAGACTGTAGGCCCCACTTTCTAATGTTTTAAATCTCATCTTCATTATATCATACACATCACAAATTTCTGCTGTCTTCTGCTGTTGGACACACAATGCCAGGTACTTGACCAGCAAATTATATCCAATGTCACCACTGGTCTTTGCCACGTAAGTAAGCAAGGACTTGGCCACATCTACGTGGCTGTTGCATTTGATCATACTTTTAAGCATCACTTCTTCAAATGTTTCAAGCGACTGACATTCTTCCCTCAGCTTTTTCCACTCTTCGGCCTGCAAAGGTTTCTCTGGAGGCTGGACTCTAATGAACCTACGCTTTAACAGAGCTTGACTCCCTACTTTTTTCTTTGAAGCTCCAGAAAACAAGTGCAGTTTTCCTTCAGATATTTCTTTACTCTCCTCATCCCATCTTGTTCCTCCTTCATACTCAACTTGAGACCTTTTCTTGGCAGGAAAAACACCAACTCCTTTGGAATTCACTGGCAACGCAGTGCTGTCAGATGCCATAAAACTTAAACAGTTAAACTTTTGTTGAATGGGGATGTTCAAAGAGGCAGCAAACAACTGCTGACATCTTATAACAGGCCAGATAATTCGACACTTTCCTAGCAAAGCCTGCATGCCCTGTTGACCAGTTTGAGAAAAGAACGCCATCAGGAGATCGAATGGCCTCACTGTCAGCTCACAGTATTCAAAGAGGTCATAAAATGTAAAAGGCAGTTTGCATGGGAAGGCTTATTATATAAGTCTTATGGCCATCAAGCCTCAAACATCGCACGTATTCTTCAAAAAGCCTGTCCTAGGGGTCCTTTAATCCTGTTACATAAACACCAAAGAGTAAAACCATTTTTCACAAAGAGACATCTCTTAAACTAGAAGCATATTCTTCCCAAGTAAAGATGTCTTTGTGCCCAGAAAAGTTGCTTGGCAGGTTTGCAGCTTATCATTTCCTTCGGGCAGCTGCAGGATCAGCATGCGGTCTGGAAACGGGCGACACGGGCGCAGACGTCCAAGGAATRCTGGGTTTTATTCCCTGCGCTCATCCAAGTCAGATTTCCTGAGAACAACGGAAATAAGCGCGTCACCGGGAGGAGGGGCGCCCAGGCCGGAGCCCTGCGGGCGGGACCGGGCCCGGGCCCGGGCCGCGGCGCCGCCGCCTCCCCCCGCGCCGCCCGCCGGGCCCCGCCATCAGCTCCCCCGCCCACAGCTCCCGCCATGCAGCGCGCCCCCGCCCCGCGCGCTGCCTGCTGGGAAGCGCGGCGCCGTCCCCGCCGCTCGGCCGGTGGCGGGGCAGGGAGCGCGGCCCGCGGGCTCTGCCGGGGCTGCGCACCCACCTCGCGCGGCGGGCGCGGGGAACGCGGCACTACAGCGTCCCGGGAAGGCGGCGCCGAGCACAGCGCAGCCACGCGGCACCCGCGGCACTAACGGCCTCCCAGAGCAGGGCCTCGGGCCAATCAGGGCTCAGCAGGCGGGGCGCGCGGCCCGCACGTGACCGTACGTGGCCAATCAGAGAAGGGCGCAGCAGAACCCCGGCAGCGCGCTCTCGGTTATGGGCACGGCGCCTCTGCTGGTCACGTGGCCGTAGCGGCGCAGCGCGCGTGCGCGGAGGGGAGGGGCGGGCCGCCCGCCGGGGTCATGTGGCCTTGCCCGCTACGGGGCCGTGCCGGTCACGTGGCCCCGGCGCGCGGCGGGCATGGACTGGAAGCGGAGCCTCCGCGGCCGCCTGGCCGCCCGCAGCGCCCGTGAGCGATGGGGCGGGCCGGGCCGGGCCGGGCCGGGCAGGGAAGGAGGGAGGACGGGAGAGCAGGCGGGTGGGGAGGGGCGCGTGTGCGCGGCGCCGGGGCGCGGCAGGGGCGGGGCCTCGCGGAGCCACGCCCCTCGCTGCCCCTCCCGACGGGTAACGGCCACCCCCGCGTAACGGCCACCCCCCTCGTAACGGCCACCCCCCCCCTCCCCGGTAATGGCCACCTCTCTCCCCTCAACGGCCGCCGCCGGGCTCGTCTATGAGTCCTGCCCGGGCCCCTCAGCGGCCTGCGGTRCCGCTGGCGGGAATGGCGCTCATCCCGACCGTCACAGACCCCGCGCTTGGGGTTACAAATCCGTTACCAATCCCCGGCTTCCGTAGGGAAATGCGCGTGAGCCTTTACCGTAGAGATTAGCATTAGCAAGGCCGAGGACACTGGCAAACCTGTGTGGTCATGCAGAACTTGAGCTTGGCAAGGCTGGTTTGTCTGCAGCATTCACCTCGGCTGCATCTGCTGGCTGGGGGCTCCGGATTCTTAAGGGAATGTCCAAAGGGACATCTGACCTTAACAGTGTGGTCACACACCTGCAAGGCCAACAAGTGATGTGCTCTGGCTACTTGGAGAAAGTTCTTAAAACTAATGAAAAACTTCAAAAAGAAAAAATGTGCCTGCTTTGTTAGTCATAACCATCCCAACCACACAACCGTGTGGCATCAGGGATGTGCAGTTGCTGGAAGAGGTACTTTATAGATCCTTGGTAGAACAGGTATATAATATTTTAAGTGCATGTGTTTAGGTTGTAGGCATGTGCTTCATCTACTTGYATCTGGATTCCTCATAATAAGTGTGTTATTAAAAAGCATGGTCGTATAAAACTTGAGGTCATTTTTTTTTTCCCAAAAGTTTTTTTGTTATTCAAATGCTATATATTTGGAGTGCAGTATAAAAATTATTTTCTGTATTAATCAGCCAAAAAGAGTGAACAGGAGCTGAAAGATGAGGAAATGGAATTATTTACAAAATACTACATGGAATGGAAAGGTGGAAGAAAAAGTGGCGATACGTCTTATATGAACATACCACGGTTTTACTATAGGGTAAGTGAGATATCCAACTATTCTTAAGCCAGAGACTATTCCACATGGATAGTATTCATGGTTACTGCATGGATAAAATAAATCATAGTGCATTCTTAAAGGGGCATTTCAGCTCCAAAACTGTAAGCAGATTAAGATCTGAAAAATGTGTGTTACTAAGCATATGCTGTGGGTTGCTAAACCATGATCTACAGTTGTGRGTTTCAGGGGTTTCAAGTAATTAATTGCAATACCTCCAATGAAATGCCATGAAATAGCTCGCTAACACTGCTTTTAATAAGGAAGTAGGCTTGGTTGTTGAGTGAGATTTTGGTATTGTTAGCACTTGTCAGCACGTGCTGCTCAGCTGCTGTGTAACTGTGCAGGATATTCCTTAGGAACCCGAGTTTCTGTCAATGAAATTCCCAAACTTTGTTTCAGTTGTTGAGTACACGTACAACCGTTCAAATGCTGCTCATGCTGTATGGCTTCTCGTGTAAACATTAGCAGAACTTCCTGCTGAGCATCCTGCCATCTCTCTTGTTTATCACATCTCATTGATCTCAGCTATAGGCGATCTCATCTTTAAGATTCAGGTCTACTACAGAGCAGAAGCTGCCCCTCTGCCTCCTCATTTAGAGCATATTAGTAAATGCCTTCTACGTGAGATGCCTCCCGTGCTGCGACTCTGGGAAAGAGCTTATTGCTTGGGTTACCTGGTGTGCGGTAGCTTTTGGTCAGCTTCTCATGTCAAAGGTGTCCTGCTTTAAGTATCTCTTTAAATATTAAAATAATCTGAGACAGCATGCAAGTGATATTTGGCTGTCTAAAAGAAGCAGATAGTTCACAGCCTTCTGCGAGGTGTGTCAGTATTTTCTATGGAATGGAACAAGAGCTGAAGATCAGGTCTAATTGAGAGTACTTGCTAGCTCTGTAGTTTCTGAGTGCCACTCCTGTACAGATAATTAACCTGCCACAATGTTTCTAGCTGCCAGCTGAAGATGAAGTCTTGCTTCAGAAATTAAGAGAAGAATCTAGAGCAGTCTTTCTGCAAAGAAAAAGTAGAGAACTGCTGGATAATGAAGAGCTTCAGGTAAGAAAATATTTTCTGTGTATTTTGAATGGTTTTTGATAGAATTCCTTTGTCTGCAGGGATTTATCATCTTATCATTTATCTTCATCTGTCATCATTTATCATTTATCTACATATTCTTCTTGTGCATTTTGTAAGGTTCTTTGTGGCTGGACAGGTTGGCTTGTTGTGAGGTACCAGCTAAAGTCTAGGTGCTGTGTAGTCTTAAGCTGGTAACCTAAGTGTAAAATGTGGGTGCTGTGGTGTGCATGAGGTCTAAATCAATACCTTTGAATCTTCAAGTTTATTCCAGTGATTTCCCCTAGTGGTCCAGAAGAAGAAATAGGTTCCGTTTCCATGTCATTGAGAGAAGCTCCAGAGATAGTTGAGTTTGCTGCAATGCTAAGACAACAGCACGTGGCCGTAGAAATCCCAGTAACAYATAGGGGAGTTTATAGCCCCAGCTTGGAGCAGTAGTGTGCTGATTACCTGAAATAGCCATGCAGTAAAAACCTTGTGTTYTTATACAAACTGTCTTAAACACATTGACATCTAGAGAGAGATACTTTGCTAACCAAATATAAATGCCTTTCAAGAATCTCTGGTTTCTCCTGGACAAACATCAGACTTCACCTATGATTGGAGAAGAAGCAATGATCAACTATGAAAACTTCTTGAAAGTTGGTGAAAAAGCCGGACCTAAATGCAAGTAAGGCTTTCCTGGCTTGTCTGAGCTCATTCTGGCTAAATCTAAGTGGTGCCATAGCTTATTATTATTAAAGTTTATTATTAAAGTGATTATTAAGGTAGGTAGAAGCAGATTGATGGCCAGAGATAAAATATTCATAAAGTTACTGGTAAACTTCTTGCTTTGCATCCTTGCCAAGGTGTATTGTCCTATATCGTTATGGGGACTTCTGAGAGAGATGTCTGTAAAATGGGGTGTCACAGCTTTTTGAAGAATAACTCCAGTGATCATGGGCATTTTCATGATAATGGGTAGCCAGGAAACCTATTCTCCCTGACATACTAACTTCAGATGGATACAGTTCTGCTTCTTCTGTGTGTATCATATGATGAATAGTCCTGTGCTCTGCTATTGGAAACTACTTTAAATGAGTTTTGGGCAAAAGCAGATTTGTTGCTAGCACTTTTGGTCTTGTCTATGCATTTATCATTGTGGAAGACTGAAAGGTGCGAAATATTTGTACTAAAGTGCAATTAAATTGAAGAAAACATCTCAGCACTCCTGGGTCACTGAAGGCCATCTCCTGTGCATGATGAGCACACTGAGTTTACTATCGTTTCTTGGTAGGATCTTAAGTGTAAACTTTCCAAAAATTCATACAACGCTTGCTGGCTGTAGTGTTGCAAATTAACCTCTTTGAAGATACTGAATGCTTCCTCTCTCATTAAAACTGTATTTTAAACTGTAGCTTTTGAATACTATACCTGGGTATGTCAGTACAGATGCCTAGAATTAGTTGTTTGTGTTTTACAGGCAATTCTTCACAGCAAAGATCTTTGCTAAATTACTGCACAATGATCCTTATGGGAGGATATCTATCATGCAGTTTTTCAATTATGTCATGCGAAAAGGTTAGTTGATGTGTGTAAAACTGTGTAAAGTGTTGTTTGATTTTCAAGGCTGTTTTAAGCTTGGTGATTATTTGCTGGTCTCTTCAAGAGCAGTGAGATCTAGCCCTTCATTGCTAGTAATGTTTTCCTGTAGGTTTGAGGGTTTGGTTTTTTGTTTGTTTGTTTTTGGTTTGTTTTCTTGATTATTTCAAGTAAGTTGAGTCCCATCTGAAATAAGCCTCTCCTGTTAGCAAGAGATCTCCTTGATCTGTTTATCACATAAAATATTTTATAAATATGTGTGTGTGTATATATGTATGTACTGTATGAGTGTGCATATGTATATCTACTCTGTGTGTATACATGTATATGTATTTATATACACATACACACCCACATAGTTTCCTTTATGCCAGTAGTATTGCAAAGATCAAAACAGAGCAGAGTTGCTATGTGGCCAGTGATGTGACCCTAAGCACTGGGATCAGAATATCCAGGATCTAGGGCTTTTATTTGCCAGATTTGAGTCCTTTTCTTTCTTTTGCAGAATGTTATCTGTATTTTATAGCTTTGTGCTGCCTGATTACTGCACATTCCTAGTACAAAAGTGGATCCTTATTCTGTTTCAATTCCGCTACTGTAACTTGGAAGGGAGGTCAGGACTCTTGAGTGCCCCTGCAGGGCTGTGCAGGCTGTGCTGAAGCAATCTGTGACAAGCAGCCTGACTACCACATCACAGACTTGGCTCAAATGCAATGAAAACTTGTTGCTACACATCTGTCTAGTTTGGTGTGGGAGAGCAAATCCGTATGATTAAATGCACCACATAGAATGTGGCCCTTAGGATTTCTCATGACTGGTTGTTGTTCCCATGTTGTTATTCAGAAGGTAAATTGTGTTTTTAAGATGTTTTGCTACTTGTATTTGCTCTGTTTAAGTTTTA